GCTGAAGGTCTGTTCGCATCGGGACAAACAAACCTTAAAATCAAAACCATGCGTCCCAATGGACTCTTTCACCTGCTGTGCCAATATTGCACTATTTTTTGTAGTGAATTTTTTTTCTGGTTGTTTAAAATACCCACTGAATAAAACCAGCTTTGAGCTGCTGATATCTGCAAATAATATTAAAATAAATTAATGAATAAATACATTAAAAATGACAATAAAAAAGCTGCAATATCAAAAACATTTTATCTGCAAAAAGCCAAATTAATAAATACAATAAAAACAACAAAAAATATAAAACAAATACAACTAAATAAAAGTGTAATAATATTTAAAAAACTGTAAAAAAAAAAAAGCCAAATTCCTCAAAACAAAAAATACAATTAAAAAATATGTTTCACTTTAAGCTGTTGATATCTGCAAAATAATAAATAAAAATAACAATAAAAAAATGTGCCTAAATGTTTGACTTTGGACTGTTGATATCTGCAGTTGTAATCAAAATTATTCAACCCCCATTGCAAATCAGGTTTATTGGCATAATTTACAGACTTTCAGCTGTTTGCAATGAACAAATTAAACAAAAGTACTTGAAATAGCTCAAATGTTTCAAGTGGTTTCCCCACATTCAACTGAAAATGCAACTTTTAATGACTTCTGCAGTCTCAAAATTATTCAACCCCCTGAATAGAATCCCTCACAACAGCACAAATCTGCAAAACAGTTGTCTCAAGCACACCTGATGCCACTAATCAAGGGCTTCATTAGTTGCACCAGGTGTGCTTGAGCTAGAACACACAAAATATCTGAACTGGCTAGGTTTGTTGAGTGTCACATTTGACTGCATGTCAGAAATGCATCAAAAGAATGGTCCAAAAAGTTAAGAGATTTCATCGCCCTTCACAAACAAGGAACAGGATACAAAAAGATAGCGAAGGAATTAAATGTTCCTAGAGACACTATTGGAAGCATAGTTTGCAAGTTCAAAGTTAAAGGATCAGTGGTTGCTCTACCTAGACGGGGCAGAAAAAGGAAGGTATCAACGGCTGCAACCAAATTTCTGAGAAGGCAGGTTCAGAAAAACCCTCGAGTGACTGCAGAAGACCTGCAGCAAGACTTGGGCCCCATTCACACTACTGCGTTTTAGTTTAGAAACGGATAATTAAAACGAATACGATCTCCATCCACACCAGCGTTTTAACTACGTATTAGAATTGATCTCCGTCCACATTAAAATGACTGAAAACGCGGATCACGTGACCATTCACCAACACTGTTTAGCAGTGCGCGTGCCGGTGTAAACACAACTTCATTGATAAAATCCCACCATGCTCTGGGTTAACCCCAAACCGACACTCCATGTACGGTCAACGCCGCCGCTGCACACGGGAATTGTCACAGATCGCTCGAATAATAGCTTGACTCTGGCGCATGTAGGCAGTTATAGCGGTGTAAAATGCAGAATTTACTTGTACAACAGCTGGTAGCAAAGATATACGCCATGACTGATGACACCCAATAGAGCCGAGCGTGAGCCTCTACTACGTCATCGTTTCTAAAGTCCTCCGTCTTGACCCGTCTTCACTAAAACGCCCTCCGGAGATTCAAAACGAAAAAAGGATCGGCAGCGTTTCTAAACTTCTCCGTTTTGGGTCTCCGTTTTTGCCGTTTTAGTGTGGACGGGAGGTGCAAACGTAGCAAAAGGTGTCTGTTTTTAAACGAAAACGCAGTAGTGTGGACGGGACCTTGGTGGAAACAGGCACTGAGGTTTCAGCTGCGTAGTAAGGCATGCCAGAACTCCAAGACATGCACCACTACTGACCCAAAAGCACAAGAAAGTGCTAAAAATCATATAAATAAGCCATCAATTTTGGGATTCTGTTCTATGGAGCGTTTATGGTTGTCGGCAGCCATATCACCCTGTAGCCCAAGACTGGTTGCCCACTGAAGCTAAGCAGGGCTGAGTCTGGTTAGTACCTGGATGGGAGACCTTCTGGGAAAACCAGGTTGCTGCTGGAAGAGGTGTTAGTGAGGCCAGCAGGGGGCGCTCACCCTGTGGTCTGTGTGGGTCCTAACACCCCAGTATAGTGACGGGGACACTACACTGTAAAAAGAGCACCTTCCTTCGGATGAGACATTAAACCGAGGTCCTGACTCTCTGTGGTCATTAAAAATCCCAGGATGTCCTTCGAAAAAGAGTAGGGGTGTAACCCCGGCATCCTGGCCAAATCTGCCCCTTGGCCTCTTCCATCATTTCCTCATAATCATCCCCCTTCTGATTGGCTTCATCCCTGTCTCCTCTCCACCAGTAAGCTGGTGTGTGGTGGGCGTTCTGGCGCAATATGGCTGCCGTCGCATCATCCCGGTGGAGCTGCACACTGGTGGTGGTTGAGGAGATCCCCCCCCCCCTTCCATGTAAAGCGCTTTTGAGTACCCAGAAAAGCGCTATATAAATGTAACGAATTATTATAATTATTATTATAAAACAAACTTTTTAGCCTTATTGATCAGCGGTATGTGTGGAGGAAGAAGAATGAAGCAAATGCTGAAAAGAGCCTACAGTTCAGCATGGTAATGCTCTGCGGCTGCTTTATATCCTCTGGAAACCTGCAGCGTGTGGAAGGCAAGATGGATTTATTGAAGTATCAGGAAATCCTAAGAGAAAACGTCATGCTCTCAGTGAGGAAGCTGAAGCTTGGACCTTCCAACAGGACAATGATCCAAAGCGGTTGCAGAAGAAGTCCAAGTCACAGTCACCTGACTTGAAGCCCATATAAATCTCTGGAGGGATTTGAAGGCGGTTGCAGCACGCAAACCCAAGAATATGACTGAACTGGAGGCCATTGCTCATGAGGAACGGGCTCAGATCCCTCAGAAACGCTGCCAGAAGCTGCTGTCTGGTTATAGATCTCGTTTGCAGCAGCTCAGAACAGCAAAAGGGTGTTCTACTAAGTACTAAAGATGCTTGCCATGGAAGGGTTGAATAATTTTGAGACTGCAGAAGTCATTAATAGTTGCATTTTCAGTTGAATTTGGGGAAGCCACTTGAAACATTTGTTGTGTTGAGATATATCCATTTGTATGATTTGTTCATTGTTATGTCAATGTCAATGTCACATTTATTTATATAGCACATTTCCAAGGCCAAGGCCTACCAAAGTACTTCACAGTAAAAAAAACACACAAAGATATTAGTCACAGACTGATACAATAAAAACACAATAAAATAACAAATGCTAAAAATAAAGGTACACATAGAATACAGCTGAATACATATTGTTAACAGCTGAAAGTCTGTAAATTTTGCCAATAAACCTGATTTGCAATGGGGGTTGAATAATTTTGATTACAATTGTATATATGTATTGACCATACTGTGTCAGAAAATGTTAAATATAGGATTTCTGTGTATAGAGCAGTTGTGTATTTGCACTGATTATCTAATTTGAATACAGTGGGACTCTTTCTCATGTGATACTGGTAAATTTCTGCATTTCTCTTGCAAACAGGCCTTGAAACCCCAAATCGACACAGATATGCGTTTAGTGTTGCTCATGCTTTTGTGTGAATGAAACAAACACAAACTGATGATTCTCACATTTACATTTATTAACACAATTACATAAGATTTTTTATCCAGTAACAGCATTAAAGCACAGCCTGATATAGTGAATGTTGAACAATTATTCCACGCACACGCACACACACACGCACACACACACACACACACCTGTGGGTTTGAAGGTCTGGAACTACAAGTCTTGAGCGTTTCACATCTATAATCTATAGATAAAGCATTTTTATTTATTACCATTTACACAACGAGCCGCATCAAAGTCGCCCGTGACGGATCCGTGCAACACGGAAAGCGTGAACATCATACAGCAGCGAGAGAGAGGAAATAACTAATATATGCAGGGAAAAAATCAATCATCCTATGATTAGAATTTTGCGTCAGTTCACGGAACGTTCAAGGACTTTTCCATTAGTCTAAACACACACACACACACACACACACACACACACACACACACACACACACACACACACACACACACACACACACTCAATCACTCACTCTCTCTTTCACAAACGAGACAGACCTTCATAATGCAATGTTATTCTGAACTCAGAAATCTTAAAAAACTTTCTCTCGACTGGATTCTTAATAACTCATGTTTCCGGATAGCAATAAACTATTATTTCTCTGATGGAAGCATCGAGGGGAAAGTGTCTTTTATTTTCTCTCTCAGACTTGAAAAGCGTCAACTGTAGCCTGTTTTAGGACCATTAAGATTTAATTGCATATTCACACAAACACAATTAATAATTACATTTTTTGTACTTTGATTATGATAATTTTGGAAAAAATTATATTCAAATTTATGCTGTTTTTAATTCCGTATAATTCATTTAATTAATTATATAGTGTTTATCACCACATTACAGTTTGAGAATGACTTTTATTTTACAGTGATGAGAATTTGAGCCCAGAAATGTGTTTAATTGTCACGTTTGGTCTGAAGCTAAAAGTCTTGAGCGTTTAACATTTAATCTATAGATAAACATTTTTATTTATTTCCATTTACACAACAATTCGAGCCAAATAGAGGAAAAAGAGGAAATAATAATAAATAAAAAAATTAAATTACACATATATTTATGCTGTGTTTAATTCAGAATAATTAATTTTATGAATTTATTTTAATGTTTATTAATGCCTTTCAGTTTAAGAATGAGATTTCTAATGAGAATTTGAGCCTGGAAATGTGTTTAATTGTCATGAAAAAATTGCATAAAAACCTTAATAGTCCTAAAATAGTTCCTTGCACAAATATATATATTCCTTCTGATTTGGGGATGAAATACCAAATATATTGGGTTTTCTTGAAATTCTGTTGCAGATTTAAATCTTTTACACTGAAGTCGTCTGTATAATATATTCCTCTACCTCTCGCTCTGTGGATTACAGCAGACGGCGGGAAAGAAGCGAACACGACTGATGTTTTTACACGTGTATTTCACACCAACCAGCGACTCACACAAACACAAACAGACAAAAGCTAACCGAAACATTTCACAACTACACCACGAGCTCAAATAAAAACCATTCCTGAAAATAATTCCTATGACACACGATATCACGATATGATTCTAGTCATTCAGTGCGAATGATGATTCTTTGATTATAAATAATGTAATTTCTCAGTCTCGTTTCAGGACGGGATCTTTAGACATTAACAAGTAAAAAGGACCATGAGTAAAATGTATGTTTGAGTGTGTTTTTATTTATTTATAAATCTGCATGTCTGCATGCAGCTGGAATGATAGAATAGTTTCGGTGAATCAAGTGAGTGATTTTGAGTGAATCAAACAATACATCAACGTGAGTGAATTAAAAGAAATATACGACCAAAACCTTGCTTGACCTTCAAGCACAAAAACACACGTAAACACACGTCTTAATGACCTGCAGTCCTTTATCATCTCCATAAATAGTCAAAAAAAGAGGGAAATTGCAAACACTATAAATAAAAAGAGGAATGAAACGGGTGTGGAGAGTGTAAACTGGATACAGCTGCCCGCGGGACACTAGGAAACGCGACCTTTGACCCCTCAGACCATGAAGCGATGCTCCTTGCCGTCGTGAGCCATGAGGATGACGTTGCGGTTGGAGGTCCAGATGAGCCGGGCGAGTTTGAGGGCGTTCTGGGATCCGGGCGACGCCGGCTGGACCGGGGGAACCTGATAGGTTTTGATGCATCGGAGCTGAGGAGCAGAATTCAACATCCCGATGCTTCCTAACAGAGACGTGTTCATCTGAAACACACACAGAGAGAGAATAGTAGTCCTGTACGATTGTTGCTTGTCAGACTGTACGAACATGATCATCGCTGTAAGCATTGTCACACTGTAAGATCTCATTTGTCATTAATGTCAGACTGTACGACAAAAAACTGACGCACAGAAGAAAACTTGCCAAGAGTTTTACGTTCGGTGATAGTGAGCTTCATTAAATGCAAAGACAGATAGATAGACAGACAGATAGATAGATAGACAGACAGACAGATAGACAGATAGAAAGATAGACAGACAGATAGAAAGATAGACAGACAGACAGATAGATAGACAGACAGATAGATAGACATAGATAGAAAGATAGATAGAAATATGACAGACAGATAGACAGACAGATAGACAGACAGAAAGATAGACAGATAGAAAGATAGATAGACAGACAGAAAAATAGATAGACAGAAAGATAGACAGACAGATAGATAGACAGACAGACAGACAGATAGACAGACAGAAAAATAGATAGACAGATAGACAGACAGATAGATAGACAGACAGACAGACAGAAAAATAGATAGACAGACAGAAATATAGATAGAAAGATGACAGACAGATAGACAGACAGACAGAAAGATAGACAGAAAGATAGATAGATAGACAGATAGACAGACAGAAAAATAGATAGACAGACAGAAAGACAGATAGATAGATAGACAGACAGTAAAATAGATAGATAGAAAGATAGACAGATAGACAGACAGAAAGATAGATAGACAGACAGACAGACAGATAGATAGATAGACAGACAGACAGATAGATAGACAGACAGAAAAATAGTTAGACAGACAGAAAGATAGATAGACACAGACAGAAAGATAGATAGACAGACAGAAAGATAGACAGATAGAAAGATAGACAGATAGACAGACAGAAAAATAGATAGACAGAAAGATAGACAGACAGATAGAAAGATAGACAGATAGAAAGATAGACAGACAGAAAAATAGATAGACAGACAGAAAGATAGACAGACAGATAGAAAGATAGACAGATAGAAAGATAGATAGACAGATAGACAGACAGAAAAATAGATAGACAGACAGAAATATAGACAGACAGATAGAAAGATAGACAGATAGATAGATAGAAATATGACAGACAGATAGACAGACAGATAGATAGACAGATAGATAGATAGAAATATGACAGACAGATAGACAGACAGAAAGATAGACAGACAGAAAGATAGACAGACAGATAGAAAGATAGACAGACAGAAAGATAGAAAGATAGACAGATAGATAGACACAGACAGACAGAAAGATAGATAGACAGACAGAAAGATAGACAGATAGAAAGATAGACAGATAGACAGACAGAAAGATAGATAGACAGACAGAAAGATAGACAGACAGATAGAAAGATAGACAGATAGAAAGATAGATAGACAGATAGACAGACAGAAAAATAGATAGACAGACAGAAAGATAGACAGACAGATAGAAAGATAGACAGATAGATAGATAGAAATATGACAGACAGATAGACAGACAGATAGATAGACAGATAGATAGAAATATGACAGACAGATAGACAGACAGAAAGATAGACAGACAGACAGAAAGATAGACAGACAGATAGAAAGATAGACAGACAGAAAGATAGAAAGATAGACAGATAGATAGACAGACAGACAGACAGAAAGATAGATAGACAGACAGACAGACAGAAAGATAGATAGACAGACAGAAAGATAGACAGACAGATAGATAGACAGACAGATAGATAGACAGATAGAAAGATAGACAGACAGAAAGATAGATAGAAAGATAGACAGATAGAAAGATAGATAGATAGATAAATAGACAGGTAGTCATATATATATATATATATATATATTTGTATTTAAATGTGTATCACTGCTTTGGAATGAAATTCAACTTGAATTAAGAGAGAGAGAGAGAGAGAGAGGGAGGGAGAGAGAGAGAGAGGGAGAGAGAGAGAGAGAGAGGGAGAGAGAGAGAGAGAGAGGGAGAGAGAGAGAGAGAGAGAGAGAGAGAGAGAGAGAGAGAGAGAGATGCCAGTAACACATGAGACGGCAAAAAAACAGAAATTTGAACAAATATGACAAATCTGAACATGAGATCATACCATGTAAGATAAGTGAAACACACACATACACAGGAAGATATAGAGTTCCCACACACTGAGTCAGTCGGTCTACAAACCCTCAAAAAACATGACACACACACACACACACGTGTTCCTCCAGTGCTCCAGAGAGGGGTAGGGCTTCAGTGGTGTCAGACGGCCAGTCGCCCTCATCCCAGCCTGGGCAACGAGAGGACGCCTGAGGACCCTGAGGACTCCAGTGTTCATTAGCACACACACACAAACACACCATTCAGACTGCCTGGTTTACCCTTACAGTAATGAAACCATTAGCCAGGAAGACATTCTTACACACACACACACACAGGAAGAGAAGACGACTCGACGGTGTTTCTGAAAGACCTGCTTAAGAAGACAGACACTCACGAGACGTCAGTCTAAATACACACATCAAATAGACTACTCTTATAGTTCATTCGTGTTTAACTTTTCCCCTGTTATTCATGGATGTTTCCAGCAATCTGTGTTTCCACTGTTATACAGTAGGTGGCGCTGTTACACATCTCCTGAAAGAGTACAGAATCTCCTGATCAAAACACAGGAGAAGCAGAAACAAGCGATAGAAGCATTGCTGACGCACATGTCAATTATAACACGATCATCAACATTAAACAGCATATGAATCAAAACTGCCTAATGTTACTGAATGAAATGTATTATAGGTAGGTTTTTATCAATGTAAAATTAAATAACAAAATATATATATTTTTAATGTATGTACCTTTAGTAATATATTATTTTTCATTTGTTAATATAAACTATGATTAATGTATTTTATAAATAAATTACTATCAGGATTTTAATATAATAATAAGTTTGTGAGCTCTAAATCAAACGTAAAATTGTGTATTTTTTCTATTTTTTTTTCATTTTCATCAAAATGTAAACTTAACTAAAACTTATAATGCAACTAAAACTGTATTATAACTTAATTAAAATTTTATTTCACACACATTCACACACAATTTTAAAATTTGTTATATTATAACATTTTGTTTGTTAATATTATTTTTTTATTAATTTTATAAATAAATATAAAACACACACAAACACACATACAAGCTCACACACTCTCTCACACACTCTCTCTCTCACACACACACACACACCTCTAAATATGATCCGATTTTATCAGCTTTTTGTTCAAAATATTGCTTTTTTTAATGAAACTTACCCACATTCAAGTGTTGATAAAAATGAATGCATGTGTAAAATGACTTCTTCAAGCTAGAGGTCAAGGGTCAGAGGTCAGGGGTGTTTACCTGCCAGAATGAGATGTGGCTGTCAGCGTTGGAGTAAGTGGCCAGGTAACGTCCGTCCGGTGCGAAGGAAACCGCTGTTATTGGTCCTTTATGCCCGTGAATATGCTGTGGGAAAAAAGGCGCAGGTTTACATGTTATTGCAATTTCTATAGTAATGTTTTCAATACAATTCAAAATGAGCGCATTGGAAATGAATGGAAGATGAACTTCATCTAGTGAAAACTTTTGGTACTGCAGCCAAACACAATCTCACTGAAAGCTCATTATTTGAGATATCAAGCTCTAATTTGGAACACAACTTGTTTAGATTTATTGTTTATATTTATCTACTCTCGTGTAATGGAAATCACTGCGTACATTTAATAAGTACCATAAAATCCCCTAAAAATACACAATATTAAATTTAAAACATGATCAAACTAAAATATAGTACATTCCTTTCATTCAAATAATAAAATTAATTCTGTCATTTTTGACCGCCACACGAAGAGCACCAGAGGGTTAACATGTCTAGATTGTTTTCATGACTAAATCCAGGAGCCGGTTTCATAAAGAGAGACTTCGACTACGGCTTAGATATAGTAGAGAGTCAGACTTCAGATAGACGTCTACATCACACCGTTGCACAGAGCACTGAAGACTCTGACTATCTGAAGTAGGACTACACTGCAGTGCATTCTGGGTAAAATAAGACACTTTTCAAAACAAAAAAACATGGCGGATGGAGTAAGCGCATTCAGCCGCTCGGTGCAGTTTACCCCAGCGGGAGATGTGTGTGTGTTGGAGGAGTGTAACAGTTACAAGGACATTTTACTGGGGAGATTTAGCGGAGAATGTAGAAACAAGAAGAAATGTTTCATTTGGACAAAGATTGACAGTTAACAGCGTTAATCCGACCGCTGAGCGGAGCGTTACAGACGTACAGAAAAGATACAAAAACACGTACAAGATGCCAAAAAAGAAATATTTAAGAGGAAATATCCAAAAACAGGAGGAGGACCCCAAGAGAAACTTAAAGACACTGAAATGGTGATGAATATATATGTGGACAGGCGCCTGTGTTTTCTTTCGGCTGTTTGTAGTGTAACTGACTGTTACTGCTGGTTGCCAAGGTAACATATATGCTACGTTCACAATGTTTGTAATGTAACTGATTGTTACTGCTGGTTGCCACGGTAACAGAGTCTTAGACCTGAGTTAGCCTGGGGGAAAGGAGTCTAATTTTTTTGGTCTAAATTCGCCTTTGGCTAAGCCACACCCTAGAATGTAGATTGACCAATCACAGCGCAGCCAAGAACGAGCTCCCACAGAGGTCCGACACTTTTTCACAGTGCTCCATTGACTTTAACACAGGCGTCTCATATTTTTGGTCTCGGCAGGCTATTAGCGTCGTAGTTTTATCAAAAATATGGTGAAACGTTGTGCCTGGGGCATTTGTAACACAGATACGCGTTTCCCAGAGAGGTTGGAGGGGGGTGTGCGTTTTTTTTCCTTCCCAAAACTGAAGTCAAATTCTGACAAGTGTCGTCTTTGGATTAAACTGTGTGGACGTCCTCACAGTCAGCTACGTTAAACCCCTCAACAAGCTCACTTGTGTGCTCTAAAGTAAATGTTGCTTTTAACCTTAATGTGAAGTTATACTAGTTAGACAGTGTTATGCTGTTTGGTTATGATTTCGGTTCTCTAACGTTACCCTAATTAATGAAGAAAGGTGCTAGCAAGCAAGCTTAGCGATAGTTTAGTTATCACGTAGCGTTAACCTAAGTCAGGATTGTATGTTTTGAGTAGCGGCTGGATGTTAGCTAACTTTGTTATTCAAGATACAAACACCTAACGTTAATGTTACAGACACGCTGTGGTAGTTTTGAAGGTGACTAACGTTACCGCCACCGTGTTGCCACAGTCCAACATTATTGTTTAAATTTCTTTAAAAAAATTACCACATTTGAAAGGTGAGACTTTGTTTAATATGTTTAATATGAAAAGTAACCTGGTCTGTCAGCCTGTTGTCAGTCTCCTCTCTGCTCCGCGATGTATTTTTCACTGCTTGAGAACATGGTGTGTGCGTGAGAGCGGCGTAGCTTGACGGACATAGCGACAGTAACTAAGGGGGGCGGGGCTTAGCCAAAGGTGAATTAAGTCAGTCTTTATTTTTGTGAAACAGTCTAACTTGCAGTAGACTAGTCTAAGAGCAAATTATAGACTTGTCTGACACTATAGACCGGTCTAAAATAGCTTTGTGGAACCGGCCCCTGATGTTTTTCTTTCCCTAAACCTGCAAAGCCGAGGCTTCAGATGAACACGTTCCCCAACAGCAGAGCATCATCTGCTCACAGACGTCTGTATAACCGCCAGTCGATGTGTTGACATGCTGAAATGAACATCAGCTCATCATGTGGGAATGACAAACAGACGGTGTAACGCAATAACCCATCGCTGTCACGAGGAACGGGCCTCACAATGGAGCGATTGGATTAAAGACATATGCGGCTTTATGAGAGCTCAAAACTAAAGTAATCTCTTACAATTAAAGATGAAACGCAATGAAAACAGCGTCACCTGACCCGCGTGTGTAATGAAAATCTGACGGCGGAGATATTGGCCTGTCAAATCACGACGCTTCATCCAAAACTCCTCCAGACGGCAAAACACACGTTCAAGATTGTTTCTCTTCATAAAAATAAACTATAGAATTTATGACTTTCTGCATGTGCTTTAAAACCCATAAAGACAATGTCACGCACAGCTGAATAATACAGATAATAAAGAGACATTATCCTAATTTATTTGATATTTAATGTTAACAAGTGAATCTATTTGATAAGTAATGAAAAATGTAATTTTATCCTGACAATTATTTAATTCACTCCCGTTCAAGTTTGGGGGTCGTTAAGATTTGTAATGTCTCTTCAGTGTCACATGATCCTTCACAAATCACTCTAATATGATGATTTGATGCTCAAGAAACTTATGATTATTATCAGTGTTGAAATAAAAAAAATATTTTAGGATTATTTGATTAATAGAAAATTCAATAGAACCACATTTATCTGAAATAGAATATTTTGTAACATTATAAACTACTGTTCAAAAGTTTGGGGTCAGTAAGAATTTTTTTGGGGGGGCGGGATAAATAAAAAAAAGTAAATACTTTTATTCATCAAGGATGAATTAAATGGATCAAAAGTGACAGTAAGGACATTTATAATGTTACAAAAGATTCAATTTCAGATAAATGCTGTTCTTTTAAACTTTCTATTTATTAAAGAATCCTGAAAAAAAAAATGTGTCCACAACTGTTTTCAACACTGATAATAATCATAAGTTTCTTGATCATCAAATCCTCATATTAGAGTGATTTGTGAAGGATCATGTGACACTGAAGACTGGAGTAATGATGCTGAAAATACAGCTTTGATCACAGGAATAAATTACACTTTACTGTATATTCACATAGAAAACAGCTGATTTACATTGTAATAATATTTCATAATATTACTGTATTTTTTGTATTTTTAATCAAATAAATGCAGCCTTGGTGAGCAGAAGAGACTCTTTTAAAAACATTAAAAATCTTTCAGATCCAAAACTTTTGACTGGTAGTGTATGTCAGGCTTTATTAGTGTTAAGAATGAAATGATCTACAAAACAAAGTCTAAACGGTTCAGGCTGAATTAATTGCTGAAGTCACTTCCTGTTTAAACGGGCGAACCAGAATAAGCTGCGATGTGAACCAGACTATATGATGAGTGTGTGTGTATGAACAGCGTATCGACCAACGCAACAGAACAATCGTGCAGGAGAAGCTGATGGGAAAATGTGCTGCATCAGGAGATTCGGACAAAACACACACACACACACACACACTGTGTTTAATTAGTAAATGCAGCAGACGTCTGTAGTCCGGCTGTCCACTTCACAGATCAAAGAGAGGACAGATGGTGTGCAGAGTGACCGGACACACACACACACACACACACACTGGAGGACGTAATGTTTGTGTTTCAGATTCTGATGAAGATCATGTGATCAGTGATGGTCATGTTGAGGGCATTATGGGATGCACATATGATCTGATCGCTGGATTCCCCAGACGACGATTTCAGAGAGATTTGATCTTCACAACTGTAAACAGCCTAAAATCAATCCTTCAATCAATTCAGCTGTGAGGCCCAATCTAACTGTCTCAAACACACACACTCTCACACACACACACACACACACACACACACAGACACAACTAATGTGAGAGTGAGTGAGTGTGTGTTTGTGTGAGTGTGTGTGTGTAAGTGTGAGAGTATGAGTGATTTTGTATGGGAGTGTATGTGTGTGTGAGTATGAGCATGTGTGTGAGTGTGTGTGAGTATGAGCATGTATGTGAGTGTGTATGAGTCTGTGTGTGTGAGTGTGTATGAGTGCGCGCAAAGGTCTGTCTTATCAACTCAACCGAGAGTCAGTGTGTTTCTCTGACAGTATGACTGACACACACACACACACACACACAGAGCTCAGACTCATCATGTGACCCCAGCTGTGACATCACGGTCACCTGGACCGGGTCGATCACACAATCTCCAGCTCTGCAGGGCAGCGTTTCCCATCATGCACCTCTGCCTGCTCACACCTGTCCTCTGCCCTCCGACACACACCTGCACTCCAGGTGAACACACACTCAACACACACATCCCGTCGCACATCCACACACACACACACATCCCGCCGCATACACACACACACACACACACACTCACCTGGCATTTCCCAGTGCGAACATCATAAAGGGCCACTGAACCCTGCCGGGCGCCGACAGCGATGCGATAACTGCGATCGCAATACGCCACCATATAAAACCTGCGGAGAGAGAGATGGAGAATATCTCAGAGACGACACACTGCATACTAACACACTACTGAGGCGACTCCTGCAGTGCATGATGGGTAATCTGCACTTTACTTGACCATCCAAATCCAGTGCGTTAAATCAACCTCGATGTTAATCTTTCTTGGACATTAAAATCATTTAATTAAGAGTAATTAAAAATTTTCCTACAAAATTAATTCATAAATCATTTAAAATAAATATTAATTTCTCAACAAAATATATTTCTAAATAATCTAAATTAACTTATTTTTCTCCAAAATGAATTTATAAATCATTTTAAATAACTAATTTTTCTCCAAAGTGAAATATATTTTTCTGTTATAGAAAAATCAAAAACAATTTATTTCTGGTGTAATTGAATGGCATGCTAAATTAGTATTTGTATTTTTTCACAGTATCATTTTTATTTACTCAGTAATGAATTTTCTATTATAACTTTTTTGTCATAAAATACATGCAAAGTGATTTATTACTTTTAAAATACAAAAAAAAGAGATAATTGAATAGCATGCTAAATTAGTACATTAGTATACTAATGTTTGAAAAGTTACATACTCCATGTACATTATAACGATAGTATGCAAATTAGGTTCAGCCTATATAAGGATTTAATCCATCAAATATGCATCAATCGCTGTCACCTGAGGTTTGACCTCTGACCCTTTCAAATCAATGAGCTGCTCGTTTGACCCGTCATCAGTTTCAGAAGTATATCAGTGTCCAATTAATAAAACACCACAAACGTCACGCCACTAATTACTGAATTACAGAATTAACTTTAATTCCTCAATCTGGACATTAACTGTAATATTCATTGCTCTACTAAATATCGATAATCTTCTAACAATTTTAAAACAATATTCAGTCTCTGATGTTGAATTTTAAGTTT